GAACCCGCCATAGTAACTCAAACCTGCAGGCTGCCACTAACTTGAGAGCGATAACTAGGACGCTGTTTTTAGCTCCGTTTCATAATCTTGTTTCTCAAGGTTTAGGTGGAAACTCTTGCCAACCTGTTGGGTGTCATTTGCAGCTGGAATTTTCTCCAGTCCTGCCTGGCTCACGGTCAGGACAAATCTCTCTCACCTGCCAGTCCCGCAGCCAGCCGCTCAGACCCAACCGAGTAAACACACAAAGACTTACAAACTGTATGGCTGTGTGGCTCAGGCTTGTAGCTATCTACTTCTCACATCTTAAATTAACCCATTTCTATAAGTCTATACCTTGCCACATGGCTCCTGGCTTACCAGTATTTTACATGTTAGTACTCATGGCAGTGGCTGGCAGCCTCTCCTGACTCAACCAGAATGCTCTTCCCTACTTGTCCCACCTATACTTCCTGCCTGTCTACTGGCCAATCAGCATTTTATTTATACCGAGTGATATTCATAGCATGGGTTGGTGGCTAAGAGTGCACACTGCTCTTCCAGTGGACCTCAGTTGATTCTCAGAAACCATATCAGGAAGTACAGAACCACCTGTCACTTTTTCACCAGGGCATTTGTCACACTTTTCTGATCTCCCTGGGCACTGAAAACATGTTCACATCCCATAGATACACACACACACACACACACACACACACACACACACACACACACACACACATATATATGGCTAAAACTAAAATCTCAAAAATACTTTGTAGAAATAATACTGGTACTCTGGACTTAGCGCTATGTGTGTGTGTGTGTGTGTGTGTGTGTGTGTGTGTGTATGTATATATATTTATATGTGATCACACAATACATGTATAGTGGCATATATATGCACACACTTTCATATTTTTATGTATCATGTACTGTGTAGCGAGGGACTTTGGAGAGTGGAAGGTGTATGCATGTATACTTTGACTTGTGTAACTTGAAGCTGCTGACTACAATGGAGAAGGATATTCTAAGATATTAGAATATTAGATATTTGATCTTAGATATAATTGATTTTATTTTGATATTAAATACACAGCATTCATCAGATCTTGTGCATGTATTAATAGACAAGGTAGTTCCCAACTGAATACTGTTATTAATTTTGAAAGTGCTTGTGTATTTAATCTAATGTGTTTCATAGTAACATTAAAGACAGCTAGTTTGAGGCACATAACCTAACCAGAACTTGGATTGGGCCATTGTTAAACCCACTTTCTGCCATAATCATGATAAGAAAAAGGGGAAAAAAATCCCATAGAAATGAAAAGCTTAACAGCATACAGTAATTACACTATTGTGTTATATTTGAGACTTTGAAAGTGTGAAACAAAATGTTCCCATATAAGAAGTATACCTTGTGGAGTTTATCAGGCTGTCCTGTGTTTTTTATCTCTTTAAACATGTTCTGGGCCCCATCATTTCTCTTTTAATCTTTAATGACTATAAATAAACAGCAAAGCAGTTCCAGTCTGATAAGACACATTCTGAAGACTTGTTTTCCAATTAATGAGTTTAACTTCTAAATTATTTAGTTAGGCTTCTAAAAGTAGAACTCCATGTAACCAATTGCAAACTACAGCATCAGTGAATATTATAAGATTGTGGGTTATTTGTTTTATCCTAACTTGGAGTATGATTTATTCAAAAATGAAGAAAAATGTACCTATTTTGTAAATTTTATTAACTTTTTATTTGGGAGTAAGCTTGTTTTACTCTTAAAAATATATCATGATTTGCCGTGATAGTTTTACCAATTAGGAAACAAAAAACAGAATACAACCACTTTTCATTTTTGAAGGATACTCATTTATTATTATTAAATAGAAGCTTAACAAAATATAAATACTTGCATTTTAGTCATAAGTTATACTGACATCACTATATATTTTTATGATTTAATGTATTTAAAGAAACAGATAAATGAAGAAAATCATATGGATATTTATAAGGAGAGAGTTTAATATATCTTCTTACATCTTATACAATAAGAGAAATAGCATGATTCAAATATAGAACTGGAAAATAATGTATATTTTAATAGGAGTAGCTTGGTTTTCAGACTGCCTCTTATCAGGTAATTGCATTTAAAACAATAAATACTCTTCATTATTTCTGTACTTTTAAATAAAATTATTAAAATCAAACTATGGGCTTTTAAGTAAATTAACAAAATTTGTCTGTGGTTCAGAATTCTCATGATAGTTTCATAAGTAGTAGGGTGAGCATGAATTTCATTGTACAATTTCCAAATCACAGCAAAAGGGAAGCTATCAATTAATTGTTTCCTTTTACTCCAAGTTTGTTCTTGGCACCTGCATTATTCTTTTATACACTTGAGAATGCCAGACAGTTTCTAATGGGCACCCAAAAAATACACCAACCACCAAAACTACTGTTATGGATAGGGAATTGTAGAATAATTGCAGCTTTCTTTTTGACCCTTTTGATCTCAATCAATTTATGTGAGCTACTTAGAGATTCATCGAACACACAGGAAGAAATCTCTCAGAGTCAGCTTGGTTTGCAATAGTAATAGATCTGGGAGAAATATACAGTAATTTAAATATGTGATTCAGCCAGTCCCATCCTGTTTTGAAGGGATCTCATAAAGAGTGAAGATTAAATCATGGATGGTGGTGCATGACTGTGATCTTAGCACTCAGGAAGCTAAGGCAGGGGAATCATCAGTCCCAAACAAGTTCCTAGGCTAAATAGTGAGATCCTGTCTTAAAAACAAAACAATATTACTAAGGCATAACTCTTGGTTAAACTAATGCCCCTATTGCTCTTGTACAAATCACCAGGCGTCATCAAGATTGACAGTGGTGAAACATGTGTAAATAGGATCGTGTTTAGTGTTTGATATTTTTCTTGGAGACAGCCCCTCTGCAATGCCAACCCCACATCTCTGTGTTATTTTTAGTGTAGAAAAAGTAGTTCTTCATTTCTCAGGTTTTTTTTCTTTCTGTACCATTCTTGCCAGATGGTGAGAGAAGAAAACAGTGAAGAGACACATATCAAGGAAAATAACTGTTGTGTGAAAATATTAAAAGTAAACATCACATAGAAAAACAGAAAATACATCCCACTGAGTCTGAATGTTTCATTTGAACTAGCACAGCTTTATAGTTACTCTCTACTGAAATAAAATGAGAAGGAGGGCTGTTTTTTATTCTATGCAAAGATATCATCCTTAAAATACAGTCAACAAACAAAACATGGTTTCCACATTTTTAAAATGAAAAATGACAAAGTACAAGTTTTTATAATGAGTGACTTTTCACCGGTATATGAAGCAGTTAGAAGAAAAGTATGCTTTGGTTTGAAATTCTAAAGTACTTCCTAAAATATATATTTAACTGACATGTTAAAAATATGTCACAAAACACACAAAAACACATCACAATGATAAGTTTGTATCTCTGCTATAGTTTAATTTTCTCAGCAGACACTTTTATATCTTTAGAAGAATCCCATTTAGGAAAATCTAGTTGAATTATAGCTTTATAGCCTCATTTCAGTATGGTTTGATCTGTCGGGAAGAAACCTTTAGAGTGGACAGGTTTTTAAGATTTTCTGCAGTTTCATATGACAGTACAGCAGTCATAATCTTCAAAACACATGATTTCATTTGTGGAAGTAGTTACACAGCTTTTTTTCCTGAGTGCTTTAGAATTTCAAGGTCTGATTTATGATCATCAACTATCATTATTTCTTGTCTATCTTTGAGTAAAAGTTTATTTTGCAAGCATACGAAATTCTTTTAGGGAATGTAGCTATATAGAAGGTATGGATATGTAATATAAAATGATTTTTATAGAATATATGAACATGAAGAAAATTATTCTTTGCCATCTCTAATGGCTTTTTAGTCAAATATTTATCAGGCAATATCTTGTTTCAGTCTGGGTTATTTGCTATACCATATGAAATTAATGCACTTTGAAACTATGACCACCTAAAGTTCATAGATAATGGTTTACATAAGAAAGGAATTTTTCCAAAGGGAAAAAAAAATTAGGAAAAAGTCTGAAATAATCAACTTCAAAGCTCTGTTGTTGCTAAAATACACTAGAAAAATACTTAGAGAGCAAAACTCTTTCCAATCTCTTCTTGACTTCATTTATATGTTTTAAGAAATATTTATTTCATAGAAAATTTATGAGCGTGGAGCATTTAGACATATTTTGAATCAAAAACATATTTACCCTTGTCAGCATCACTCCAACATCTGACCCAGTGTTTTCTCTGACCAACACTGTCCTTACCAAGTTTCAAAGCACTTTTGGTAATAAGCAACTCATTACTTATACCTTTGTATTCTGGAGATGTGGTGGTTTGTATCTCTCCTAAAATACACATTTTTACTCTAGATAATAGGTTCTCAAACAGAAGTGATGTCGATAGATCTTTGGCAACATCTATGGATAGTGTTGTGGACAGAGACTGGACATTCTGCTGCTATCTAGGGACAGAGACCAGGGATGCTACCGAATATTGAAAATGTACCAACCTCTAAAACACATTTGCAAAAGCCCAAAAGGTCAACAGTGCCACTGTTAAGTTAGTCTTCTTGAGATAAAATTATACGCCACAGTAGTTTATTAAAATGTACTTTTCATTTACTTGTGAGAATTAGTAAAAGTAATTTTAAATATTTCCACTCCATTGTCTTAGTGTGTGTCCCTCATTCCTTATTCAACTTTCCAATTTGTTTCCACCAAATGGCATGCTACAGTTGTTCTTCTCCAAAGATTAATTGTATGTGCATGGTTTATTATTAAAACAAAACAAAACAAACCTGCAGTTGACAATGGAAAGGGCTTTATTAGAGCCCTGGTGGCTTTTTATTTGCTTTTCTTTGAAATGACTAGATTCATGAAGTGTGGAAAATGCCTCATGCAGCTGCTCTTCCCTTTCTCTCTTCATACTTTATTTTATTTTTTTATTCTGGTTGGCAGAACTCCACTGATTGCAGCCGGAGTCATTGGCGGGCTCTTCATCCTGGTCATCATGGCTCTGACGTTTGCAGTTTATGTCAGAAGGAAGAGCATCAAAAAGAAACGAGCCTTGAGGAGATTCCTGGAGACAGAGGTAACATTTCCAGTACTGTTTGTCATTAACTTGGGGATTTCCCTTAAGTTTTACAGACATGAATGATGCTCTGTTTCCTAAGATCATTGAAAATGTGGCTTAATTTATGATGAGTTTGTGTGTTACATTTTTGTACAAAGTCAGTGAAGATAGAATACATTATAAAAATAGTTAAGACAGTAGGGTTACAGCTTGAAGAGGATGGATTGCATTGGGCTGAAGAAATTATTCTGTTGAAATTTAGAAGTAGATTTATTTTGGTTGTGGAAACCCCATGAGCATCTCTGGGTAAAAGATAACTCATTAGCAGCATAGCGAGCAAGTTCCTGAGGAGAGACATCTCAGTGGTAGAACTAGTAATACGTTAGAAATAAATCGAGCCAGGTGGTGGTGGTGCACTCCTTTAATCCCAGCACTCGGGAGGCAGAGCCACGTGGATCTCTGTGAATTCGAGGGCAGCCTGGGCTACAGAGTGAGTCCCAGGAAAGGCAAAAAGCTACAGAGAAACCCTGTCTCAAAAAACCCAAAACAAGCAAACAAACAAAACACACAAATAACTAAATAAAAATTACCTTATCAAGAGTACAAGATATATGCATTTTAATTGCGATTATTAAATTGGTGGCCAATTATTAATTACATGTGCAGTGAAAGGCTGAGGCTTAGAGCTAAAATAACAGGAAACTTTTGACACAGTTGATGGGATGAACTTAGTATTGTATTACATATTGAGGTTATACAATTTATCCATAAATTATCACCATTTCGATTATTTTGTCACACTGGGTTCTTTAGCATGCATCTGATAGTCTGCATAGGAGACAAAAGAAGGATTATCACAGAAGATTTCTCAGAAGCAGAGCTTTGAGTTCCATCCTATCTTGTTCTCCTGATATTCCCCATCTGAATCTGCCTGAACAATTCAGAAGAATTCAGTGTGTCACTCTGAGTATATTTTCTTTATGATTCTCAAAACGGCAATCTGGCTGTTCTTTCCCTCTTAAGACTATCTGGAATGGAGATACTCATCCTTTCATAAATGAGACATATTGGAAATGGGTTATATCTTAATTCTTTTTCCTTCAAAAGTTTCCAAACAGAAAACTGTTGCATGGCATATGCCAAGGTATATACCAACAAATATTTCATATGCAAACTTAGGTATCACTTGCCCAAAGTGCTGAAACCTCCTCACCAATTCTGCATGTGTTTTAAAGTGATTTTTATATGAAATTGTTTGTAGAGGTTCATTTAAGTTATTCATCATAGGGCTGAGAAGACAGCTCAGTCAGTAAGTGCTTGCCTTATAAGTATGAAGACTTGAATTCAATCTATAGATCCCACGTAAAAACTTAAAATGGTGGTGGTATGTGCTTATAATCCCAGGACAGGTACAGATGGATTCCGTGGGATTGCTCCAGGATAGCTTCTTTTGCTTGACATATTCCAAGCCTGTAATAGAATATCCCCCCAAAACGTGGACAGTGACTGAAGTATGAAACCTTAGGTTGCCCTTTGGACTACCCCCCATATATGCGTATGTATACACACACACACACACACACACACACACACACACACACACACACACAAACACACACACACACAAACACATTACAAATCATACATAGCATCTAAAAGAATCTGGCAATAAACTCCTGTAGAGTGGCCTTCCAAGGAAGGGAAATCTCTGATAGAGGGTTTATTTTTTTTATGTAAATTTCAATGATTCTGAGATACTCTATCTTGACTTCAAGGAAATTCTTAATGACCTAATTTATATTTTTATAATATAAAATATAAAAATGAGAGAATGCTAGATTTGTTGTCAAACTATCAAGAAACAGACTAATTTTATTAATAACTTTTAAGTGTTTTTCCTAAAATCTTTACTACATCTGTACCCATTGAACTCAGGCCTGCTCCACTGGTTTAGTAGGCCACGATAGTGACAGAAAGATGATCATAATGGCCAGGCAGGAGGACCACAGCACAGTTAAGCTTGTAAACAGACGTTTTGAAATACCATGGTGGGTCTAGACAATTTGAGTAGCAGTAGCCCTCAATGATTTCCTCATGCAGAGAATAAAACTGGCTGTTGTTTGTTGTTTAATGTTTAGTTCCTTTTAAACTAAAAAACTGTGTTTTCAAAAACTTGTTATTTCTCTTATTTGAGCATGAATTATAACATAAAATGCTATCCATGAATGTAGGCTTTGGGTGGACCAAAGCCTCTGAAGTCCATACAGCAGACCCCTTCATCCTGAGGATACAATTTAAAACCGAGAGATGTCTGAGACTGTGGATAATACTAAAGTTTATATGTACAATGTTCATTCCTATACATACATAACTTTGATAGAGTTTGATTAATATATTGAATATATTAAATTAATTAGTTACTATTGATCAAATAAATCAGTTACTTTAATAAAAATATTTTAAACTTACAATTTGTTTCTGAAAACTTCTATTTATTATTTTCCAAATATAGTTGAACAAAGGTAGCTGAGATTTCAAAATGGGCAATTGTGGTTAAGGGGTGAGAACTGTAGACACTGCCTCACCTATCTCAGTGATGACGCTTGTTCATACATCTTTCCTTTGTTTGCTCAAAGTCTTCAGCTGAATGGCATCCTAACTAGAACATCTATAAATTTCAGCCTAATTTTGCATTTTGGCAACACTCAGCCCTCTTCTTGACCTGCTGCTTCTACTCCAATCTTACTGTTTATATTCATCTTATGTCTGATGTGTTTTATATGTTTATCATTCTCTCCTTCTGATGCTGACCCCAAACTCTACTCTATTGCAAGCAGCCTCTTAGTGTCACTCTGATGTCATGACCTCAAGACTGACCTTAATAGATAGCTCTTTTGCCTTCATCCCCACTTTTTATTTCATTCTTTATGTTCCAAAACATATTTACAGCCTAGAACCAAACTATGCTCATCTTGCTACTTAAAATGAGTTCCTAACTCACCATCATAAATAGACACGGTCCAAAAATCTATGCAGAATTTCAAGCCTCCTCAGACAGGAGTTGAGGTTTGACAAGAACATTGGGTATTTGATGATTGGCTGCATGAAGAATCTGCATCATACTAGCTAGCTATTATTCCTTTCTGATATAATCATAGTAGCTTTTCAATAATTGTAAGTGCTCATATGGGACTATTTCTCGTTTTGTTGTAGTTTGTCTTCTTTTATTTTGTCTTTGTAATTAACATCATATCTTCTAACCAGCGTATCTCCAGTAGAATATGTGCAGAACTCGAATTCACCCAGACAAAGAACGTGTGCGGAGAAAGGATAGCACTGCGGCTGATACTACAGAAGTAGAGTTTGTCCAAGAAAAGTATCCTAGTATACTTTCCTAGAAGTGTTAGAAAAGAACAGAGGGCAAGAAGCCCAAGTGAGTATGGATGAAAGCTCCATAACCCTATGCCTTTGTTTTGCAGCTGGTAGAGCCCTTAACCCCCAGTGGCACGGCACCCAATCAAGCCCAGCTGCGCATTTTGAAGGAAACGGAACTAAAGAGGGTAAAAGTCCTTGGCTCGGGAGCTTTTGGGACCGTTTACAAAGTAAGTAAACACACAGTGCATGCCATCAGTTATTTAAGTTTTGTTTCACGCTTTTAAAAAATAATAGCCAAGGTAATTACTTTAACCAACCTCATGTCCCTTTAATATTCAAAGAGAAGAATCATGTAATATTAAGGAGCTGCTGTACAGATGAATTCATTAATTTTTCTGAACAAGCTTGGATAAGTGCTGTGTTTAGGAAAGAGAAGGACTGCAAGTACTTACTCAAGTGGAGTTCACTGAGTGCCCTTTGAGACCCTTTCAATATTGACTTCTTTTTTGCAAATGTCCATGTGTTTCCCAAATGCTCTGCCACAACCTGCTTATCTTCACCCTAGTCATTGGTTCCTGATCTTCCAGAACTTTCTGGGCAGCCGCGCACAATCCTTGGCTGTTCTTTCTGTTCTTTTATCCTAAACTCTGTCAGTACCCTACCAATCGATCACTTAAAATCCATATGAATATGCTAGCATATTTGTAAGATCAGAAGGTTATAACAATTTTTTGCCCAACTGATTATATATATATGATTTAGTATTTATGTTAGTAGTTTTGATGACCTTGCCATTTTGTAAAAAAGAAAAATAACTATATGAGAAATGGAGATCAGAGAAGACAAAAGGATAATACCATTAATTTTCAAAGAGAGTTACTTTTGGAAAGGGAAAACTCAACTGGTGATGTCTATATATTTACTTTTTTTGGCTAAGTTACAAGTCTAATCCAGAGGCCAGCCCAACATTAACTGTGGTGAAATTTATTTTAATGATAAATAACGAAATAAGGAAACTCTCCTGGGTTAATAGTGAGGCTGTTTTGTAACAGCCATTGGTCAATTCACAAAATTTACATTTGCAGCTTACGGTATATTTCTAACTGATATATTAATTCCTTATTTTTATGAACACATGATTAAGGTAGATAGGAATTTAAGAATTTTACATTTCAAGATCTCAGTGTTTTCTGTAGTTAAATGATTTAATTTGATGTGGTGGTATATACCTATAATTTAAAACTTAGGAGTCTAAGCCAGGGGAATTATTTGAGTTGAAAAGTTTGAGACCACTCAAGACATTTAGTGAAACAGTGACAAATCAATGAAACAATGTCTCAAAAAAATAAAATAATGATTTATTTATTATAACAATATAAATGACTGTAATGTAGACCTAAATTTTCCTTTCCTAGGTGTTTGAAAATATGCTCATCACTATAAAACCTTCTAAGATCCAACTGCGAAAGTTCCCCTATCATTTTAGTGTGCATATTTTGTCCAGTTAAATCATTAACTGAGTGTCCAATTTGCACAGATTCTACTTTAGGCTGACTTTGTCTTTCTGATCTTCAGATTCTTTGTAAGTTCAAAGAACAGAAGTTACCCTTTATATATATTGAAATTATACTAGAAAAAGGCACAGATTATGTAATTTTATAATTAAATTTTGAATCTAATTTTGTCCCAATATTTAATAATTTCAATTTGTATATATTTTAATGAAAAATGCACAAAATTATTTGCACTAATACATTCATGATTCTAAATTCTATCTTAAATAAAGATGTTGGAAGGAACTAATTGAATCATTACTGTCCTCCTGCCTATCTCTTGGTATTACTTCATTACCATATATATGCCTTCCAATCATCTATATAAAGATTCCCTGGCTTCCACTAGCCCAATAAGCCATCTGATAATTGCTTGACATTTCATTTCTATAGATATGTATGAGGTTTTCCTAGTTAAACTCTAGGAAAGTCAAAAGAAAGCACTTAGAATTTCCTTCCCTTATGATTCATGGTAATCATTTCTACACGTCTTGTTAACAAAATTGAAAGTATGTAGACAAATGTGTGTTTATAGAAAATTTATTTTTAATGAAGAATTTTTTTATTCATTCCACATACCAAGCACAGAAGACCCCTCCCTCATCCCTCCTCTTGCTCCCCCGCAGCTTTGTTTCATAAATTTATTTGAATTGTGTGCTTGAAATATGTGTTGCAGCTCTATGTTTTAATAAATGTATCATGCATTGTAAGACATATTGTCTTAAACTATATAAAAGTATTGGTGGGCACACAAATGCCAATGACCTGGGTACTTATTTGGTCATTTTTTCTTCCTAATTGAAACTATGCTATGTTTCAGCAAAAAATATTAGGACCAATATAGGCACAAGTATAGTCAAATTCCTTGCATTTCATCTATAAAGTAATGGCTAAACTTTTTTTCCAAAGTGGTACAAATTAATTCACACTGAATTTATATTCTTATTTTAAAACTACACTTTAGGAATATTTTAATATTGATGCCGTTGCTTTATAAAGTAACTCCCTATGTGGTTATTTTATTGAATAATGATAAGCATGTTCTCTGCCCTAGATACTATCTCTGAGAAAATATAGCCTGGGGTTTTGGGTTCTTGGGTTTCCCACCCCCCTACTTCTGCTTCAATACCCTTTTACAAAATTATACCGCAGATAATTTATGTTATTATTTTTCATTTGACACATACATTTCCCTATTGACCCTGCTTAAGTCAAACATAAACATAAATCTCATCCCAAGGTTTAAAGCACTTTTCTTCACTGTTATTACTATTCAACAGCTCTTGGGTTTGTGTTTCCTCTATTACTCCAACTTAGGGTAATACAACACATTTACTTAAGCCATGTGTCCAAAGTGAAATCTTTCTTCCTATTGCTGTCACCCGCTGATGTTGAGAGAGAAGGTAGAGCTACGGCCTAGAGCTTCCCCACTTTCATCTTAAAGTTCAAACTGTCATAAGTAGTCTTGAGATTCTTCCCTGTTATGGGCTCATAAGAGCGTCTAAATTCTTTTTGGGCTATATGCTTCAAAAAAATGTCATCCTTAATCCACACATTTTTATCTCTCCTATCAAAATTATTGTCCTCATTTAGATGTTTAACTTCACTCAGAAACAGTCTTATTTAATCTTGTATCTTGAAAGTCTACGTTTTTAATATTGTCCTAATCCATAAATACTGAAATTAAGTTGATAAGAAGACAGAATTATATCAATATAAGTATTTTATTTGTACCCAGAGACAAAAATAATTAATATATAGAATTTAATAACATAGATAAGTTACTGTGAATTACATATGCCCTAGAACTTGTCCTTGAGTCTTATTTTCAAAATAATAACCTCTGAAATTTAATTCCTATTCCATCTGAACTTGAGAAACATGTTATTTTAGTTTTCGTTAAAGAATAATCAGGTAATATTGAAGCTTAAAAGAAATATCATTTTTACCTAATCATATTTTATAAGTTATTGTTTAGACATGAAGTTTTCCATACTTTGTTGTTAAATATAGCTACTCTTGAGAGTGAAAGAATACTTAATTTGTCTTGAACCGAAGTTGGTGATATCATCCAAATAAGATATAAATTATACTCTATCCTCTGTTAATGCTCTCTTCAATGTGCAAAGCTTTTTACAGGAAGCAAACAAATTAATCTTAAACAGACATTGAACACTATGAAAATAGAAATCGTATCTAATTCATCTGTTATGAAATTAGACCACAAACACATACAACACATAACAGATGCTGAAGAAAAGTTTATTGTTTAAAAGAAATTAGAACTCAGAGCTTACCAATTGGTTGTCCAGTGCCAAATGGTCTGGTCTGAAAAAGTACATACAAGTAATATTATCTGTATTGAACAGGTTATATTTAAGAAAAAGATATACATGCATGTAATAACAAGTTATGAAAAAGTAGCCAATGAACTTAAAGGAGATTGTGGAGGGATATATGGGAGGTTTGATGGGAGGAAAGAGAAGGGAGAAGTGTTGTAATTATGATAATCTCTAAAATGAAATAATATAAAATTAAAAGTTGTGTGGTCAAATCAAATTACATTCTGCTATAAAATATTATGTAATCTCAATATAGAATTAATCTGATATTTTTTCCTTAAAGGGTATTTGGGTGCCTGAAGGTGAAACAGTGAAAATTCCCGTGGCTATTAAAATCCTCAATGAGACAACTGGCCCCAAAGCCAATGTGGAGTTCATGGATGTAAGTACACAAACACACAGTTGTATTTTTGTTTACTATTAAATAGAGGGTTTGAAAATAAAGTGATAAAAAGACCAACCACCTTTCAAAGCTTCTTCTCTGAAAATGTAATAATCTCATACTTAGAGTTTTAAGATCCCTTCACATTATATTATACCTTTAAAATCATCCCTAATTTGCAGCTGTCTGCTACAGCTGTACTCTCCAATTGCTTTGGGAACACAAAGATATTTGTAATTCCCATGTTGAATTTCCTGCTGTGAATCAAGCATGTGATTTTCATTTTATTTATAATTTGGATAATAATCAGACAGAAATGAATTTATTAAATGCAGTTACAACAGTATCAAAACACCTGGCTGGGGACGATAGTAAGTCATTCTTATAAGTCATTCTTTATAAGCACTGTCTTATTGAGTGCTTATAAAGTACTACAACTGTTCTAAATATCATTGACAAAGTCTGCAATAGGTTCCCAGCAGTGTTCTAAATAACTTACAAATAATATTTTGTCTCACTTGGATGATGGAACAGACCAAGTTAACCCAAGGTTAGCCCAGATTGCAAAGTGGAAAGATGATGCCTAGAGACTTTGAATTCAGTCAGCCAAGACTGACTAGACATGTTTTCTAAAAAAAAGCAGAGAACAATGAGGATTAACCTGTCTTGTCTTCACTGTGGCAACTCCTCAGCTCTGCCCTTTCTGGTTGGAAAGCAGGCCTAGATAATTAAGACAAAACAATTTGTGAATGAATCTGCGGGACTCCAACAAAATATCCAGTAAACAAGATGGGGAGCGTGTTTGGTTTTAAGAGCAGGCCCAGCTCTAAGGACCACAAGTGCAATAACCACAAGAATGGCATTTTGGGAGTTTGAGGATGCTTGGAAAAATTAATCAGGATGCTTTACTTCCTGTATTTATAATTTATTGAGCTAAGAAACAACCAAGTTAGTGTTCCAGTTAGTCTTTCCTATATTTCAACAGGAACCTAACTAAAACTTAAGTTCTCAAGTGATATTTACTCTTTTCAATTCAGATACATCAAGCAGGACTATGGTAAAAGCTTCAACTACAGAATAAAAAAAAAGGTGAATGAATGAAAGTACTTGATGAGGTCAATCAGAACTTGAAGATTTCCCTCAGCAAAAGTTGTAGATTGTGCTGTTCAAATTTTAGAGAGAAAGGTGGAATAAAATTTTATGTGTAGCCTGCTGTTATTTTTTTCACATTGAACACAAGATATCTTACTAGGGATTCTGGAATAGATCCATATACATTCTTTCTATGTCTTTTAGCATAATGTCTTCAATAATAATAAGAATGATTTTGATTTTAAAGTGACCTTTACATGAAAGAGGATGTAAGAAGCATATGCACTTTGATTTTTTTCAAAACAGATTGCTATATATTCTTAGCCAGTCTCTTTGGAAAGGTCCTTTGCAGGTTTAAAGAAACTCAGTATATGACCTTGAGAACCTTGATAATAATGCTAACCATCTTTTATGATGCTATTTTAACTAAATTTGTTGTTAATTATTACATAAGAGGACCGAGAATGATACAAGCATGCAGCTCAGGAGAATGGTCTCTGTGTGTATCATTTGCTAAATAAATAAAATGCCACCCTTCTGGCCTCACTAGCAACACTTGTATAATAAGTATTACTCATACAATAACTAAATCTTTTTTCTGCAGGTAGTTAAAGGTTATTACACTCCCTGCAGCCAAATGTCTGCCTCCTATGTTACTATTTAGAATTGATGACTTTTTCAATGATGCCCTAATCATTCAATTTGACCCAGATCATAGCCATAAACTCAGGGAGAAAATTTTCGAATTAAATAGAAATTACAAAGAAAAATTACAGTAAATAAAAAGTGGAGGTTCATATATAAAACTGATAGAAGATCAAGCTTGGCCACCTTGAGCTACAACCAAAGCTGTAATTCACAAGAATGCTAATAATCTCTGCTGGAGGCTTGGACAGTCATATTTCCATGGAAACAGTCTGGCAAAAGGGGGTTAAGAGGCTACAAAATAATCACGTAAAAAAGAAGCTCTAAAAACCTCATCATGATTTCGAATGATTATTTGAAAGCTCCTAACCCCATTCATCCACTCCCCTCCCCCTTGATCTGAAGCCTATTCCCATGGAAACAGGAACAGGGCAGAAGCTTGAAGTCTTAGCTTCCTGTTGAATTTCAGATGAGACTCTGATTGAGCCATGAAAGGAGTCATTTTCCTAGATGGGTGATGGATTTGGTAACTAACATACATATACATATATGTTTTTTCTTTTTAAGATAAAAAATAAGAATTTCTTTTTTGATACGCCTTTCCTACCTTTGGATAGATGCTAAAGAATTAATAGCTTGCTGGCTGTTTTGAAAGGTGCAAGGTAGAAATATTTTCTACTATCTTGGTGACTTGTTTTAAACTACTAGAAGGATAGTATCATACTGAATAAAATCATTTTAACATCAGCATTGATGGTGATTGCAGTATTTAAGTAAGTTAGCATAACTTTCATGTAAACATCTTTTACCTTCATTTGTAGATTATCCATGGTGTTTGCAGAGCATTTTAAGTTCTCATAAGAGCTCAAGCCTAAAGGGAAGGTCCATGTAAGCAAAAGTGTATGCAAGTTGAGCCACAGGACAGAGAGCAAATGACAAGGCATCCAGTCATAGTAAAAGCAGTATGTTTGATAAATGTCTTAGTCTGGAGTCTTCCAGAAGCACAAGCTACTCATGAAATAATTATTTGAGTAGAAGTAATTTATGCCAGCGTTGAATGACTCATCATTAGAAGAATATGGAAATGAGGCAAGACAACTACTACCTACCACAGTGATGCCTGTGGCCCCTCTCTGTTGGACAAGCTCCACAGTCTAGTACTACTTGTCCTACTCAAGGGTTAAGAGAGTTAAGCCCATATGCTATTCTCCTAAACTGCATTGGTTTGACAGTTGCTGGGAGAATGAGAGAACTAGATCCCCTGTGCCATCTCCTATTCCATTGTTTCGTGGTTAAGGAGAAGGGGACCCTTAACATCTTCATGACTGACCTGTTGAGAATGGCAGAAATAGGCTGCAATGGCAAGAAAAACCATTTGGCAACAAGAAGTGCCTGGGCACCAGCTAGCGCAGCAACATTATAAAGTGTCCAGGAGAGCTGTTAAACAAAAATAAGATCCTCCAAAAACATACCATGCATATCTTGTGCACACCAATGTCTGCGTGTATTTCTTTTTATGTGTGTATATATTTTTATATATCATTGGATTTAAAAAATCTAAAACTTATAAAGAAAATGGAAACTCTAAACACCTATTAAACATTAGCCTCCTTTACATTTAATGCTGTTTACCTCTATAGCAGAATATTATACATTTTATAATGATGATATGAATATGAATATATATTTATGTGTGTTTTGCTATTTTCTTTAACAAATTACAAAAAAAAAACACTGCAGCTTAATAATCAAAATTCATCACCAACAACTAACACCTCTATTGATATCCAAGGACAAAGAAAAGACTCTTCTATTCTCTTTAAATTTTTACCACAAGCAGAAAGTAAATCAGGGGCAGACAGTATTTTATCAAATGTTTCACTAAAAGCAGCAGAAGGAGAATTTGGTCACAGGGCTGCTACTTAGCTCGCCTGAACATGTCTAATGGATTCATAATGACAATAATAACATGCTGCTATTGAATGGCCAGTGCATTCTTCATTCCCATAAAGGAAGATCACATTGAATGACATTAAGGAAAGGACTCTAAAGGTCTACCTTCCTAAGAAGGATGCCCGCATTTATAGACACTCTTAATTTTTGTTTCAAGTAGTGCAATTTCTCTTGGAAAATGCAAGCTGCTAGGAGGTTTCTTTGGGGTTTTATGTTGTTGGTATTTTTTTTAAAATACATAAAATTGTGTAGAAGATACACACTCAAGACCCAAGGAAAGAGTCCTGGAAAATGAATCAGACTGTTGGTTTGTTGGAGTGTCCACCACTGTTTTTTCCCAGGACATCTAAGCTCATTATCTGTTGAGATTGCTTTAAATTGTTTTAACAAAGTTATTTGTTTCCTAAAAAAATTAAGCTGGGAATGGAAGAAATTGTATAATTACACTAATTTCTAGGGATGGTCTTCCAATACAGGCTCAGAGCTTATATGAATCTGCTTGACTCCAGGTCCAGCTTTCCCATGCTACATTTACAATACAGTTCATGGTCAGGTGATTCTGGAAAAGGTGTTTCATGTGACCTTACTGTATTTTGTAAATTGCATCATTTGTCAGGGAAAAATAATTTTCTTTTTGCTGTACCACAAGGACTTCTATTTATCTTACCCATTTTGTTATTTTACTGAAGTAATGTTCACATGATTTTTGTTTATCCTTCCTGTATTAGATTTGTGATACTCAGGATCTTGTTGGGAGTCGGTTCTTCCAGCTCTAATTGATGTCATTATGTGAGTGGGGTGAGAAACATATAATCTATTCTGATTATAGCAACCTTGCAAAATGATGTGAAAATTTTGGTTCTGTTTTTTCACATTACCAAATTTCCTTTGTGTGAGTGCATATTGTTAATGATGACTTTTAGATTCTGCATCAGATTAACAATGTAATGTTAAAAATTCACATTATTTAATCCAGTTACATATTTGTCCACATAAATTTGGTCATTTTTATATATTAATGCAATTTGTAAATTTTAGAAAAAAACATTCCAGAATTTTCTAAAGCCCTATATTGTAGGAATGATCTTCCAAAGTCAGTTAACAATTATTATTGCCCTTAAGAAAAAATATAAATAATAAATTAAAAAAATTGTTCTTAAAGTTCTGGAAGTTTTCTTTATTCCAAAAATAAAATGATGTCTTCCCAGAGAGAATATAAAACTCTATTGAAACAGCATTTTTTATCTTTCAATATCCTATTAAAAAAGTTAAAAAGAGAATCATCCTGGTGACTAAATAAACTGATTCCA